CTTGTGGTAGAGCGTCCGCCCGGAGATCGGAAGGTTCGGGGTTCAATCCCCGGCCGCGTCATACCAAAAGACGTTACCAGATGGTACTTGTTGTTACCCTGTCTGTCGCTCGGCATTAAGGGGCTAAAACAAGGACTGGTCGGCTCGGAGTCAGTACACTGTGTCTGAGTGGGGTATTCATGTTAAACTGCGGCACTATAAATCGGCATCAGTCCGGACAAGTGAAAGCACCCACACACGTGCATGCACGTCTTGGACGCGACGTTAAACCCAATTTCACCTCACCTCACCTCTTTGAGATAAGCACAGTATTTCATCGTTAAATAGACAATATCCCAATCTGCAAATCTAAAAATTTCTTACCACCATCATTACACTTTACAGTTATCATTAAATTTTTATGATCAAAATAACTTTCGGCTTTGGGTTCATATTTAAAAAGACGAGGCTAGAGGTTGTACATCGTTCTTTATAATACGTGTCATACAAGCGCACCTTTTAAGTTAAATGAACTGTTTTTTAACATAGTTTGCATTAAACAATAATGAAACGGCCTTAAGTCATGATATTGTATTTTGTACTGAGATCGGATTCTTGTGAAATTTATAATCAATCTAAGTCGAAATTAAGTAAGGATAAGGATTTATGGATGAACAACTTCTTTATTACAATTAAGAGCGACGTTTCGGTGTAGGTTCTAACACCGTTACCAAGCCTTACTTAGTACTCCAACTTCTAAATGCCTATCAAAGAAGAAAGTCGAAATTATTTATTGTTGTCAAAGTAATTAAATGTTCAAGATAATTCTAATACGAACCTCCTCTTGAGATGTATCCGAAGTATTATGATCAGGGCTTTCACAGCACAGCATAGGACTCCTGCTAATGTCCCAATAGAAACAATCAAAACGTGTTCGGAGGAACCTGAAATAACGAAGCACTTTGATAAATCATTTAGATTTGAAAAAGTTTAAGTTTCGGGGCTATTTAGATTTGCAAGTTTCGGAAGAGGTTTCGGAGATTCCCATGAAGACTAACAGGATCTGGTAATTAGGCTCGCTGACCTGGTTGATGCATGTCATCGTATCCCAATTGCGTGGATCGATGGTCATGATATCAATCTGGATTGTCTGTTCCAGACTCGATTGTTCACAGACCGCCGTCATATTGCTTGAATATTGCGGCGTTAAAGCCCCATCTGCGGTAGTAACTACCGCACTCTAGTGGGCGGAGCTTATAAAAGTGATTTGACAGGTCTATATGACGTCATGATAACACATACATTTCATTGGTTTAATGCGTAAACGGGTGACGTCATGTAAACACCCACCCACGTGGGTCGTTTGACAACAAGGACGTAAGTTTTAATGGTAATATAAATATCTACCAAACGATTCCAAGACTTTTCAACAAACGCGTACGTCTTTGGTTTCAAAACCTACCTGCCATGTCGTCTTCACATCTTCATAAAATGATACCGTGGAATGTCCACGATTTATCCAGCACACAAATTACAGTTCTAGATCTCTGGACTAGAACGACATACGTTTGTCGTGATGCATATGAGCAGTGTAAATGAAGAACATAATATGTGTTGGGGCACCAATCGCTATCCTGTGGTGTACGGTATATCTGCAGTTTACAAATAGCATTTCTCACAATATATACGGCAATCGGTGATTTCAACAATGTTTTTCTTCGTTGTGTTGTTCGTCTTGCCTCATTTGGAATCTGGATGACAACGATCGTGTAAAAAAACCTGGTAAAAGGTCAAAAATATTTTCAAGTGATCAAAGTAGTTTCTTGTCGTTTTTTTCATTGCCCAGTAGCAATCTATGTATTTTGGCAAAGTCTTACTTGTCCGATGAAGCTCCTCATGCCGAATTAAGTAACTCGATCCGTGAAACTTGGCGGGTCCCAGTGACCCAGATCCCTGTTGATTGGCATGCCAAGTGTCATTTGCATAAGGCCATCCATATTTTGTGTATGTGTTTCTCCCCTCAAGCCTCAACTAAACAATCAGATACCGGGCGGACGAAATACAATATATGACTTATAAAAAAATGTCTTTCAATAATTGTGTAAGTTATTTGATGACATTTTTAAAAAAGGTTCAACACTTGGTACTAGAATCTAGTCTATGAATTAATTTATGATGTAGATCGATTCGCTTTGCTTCGGAAACGAATTTTTAATAAACAACGGAAAAAAGATAACGTTGACCTGGTTCTTTTATGACGTTGCAATTGTAGATCTAGTAGTATTTCTTTTATTAGATCGGTGCGCAATTTTCCACAGCGGCAGCGAAATTGAGACATTATATTATTTCACGTCGGAATGGAGATAGAAATATTCAAATACGGACAGCCTCACAGACTTCGAAACGATGTTCAGATTAATATTTGTTCACATTAATTCTGTCATGTGCGTGAAAATTGGTTTCAACATTACTTTCATCAAGCTTACATTCAGGTCGCTGGCTTCTTCGGCATTAACACATGTTTTGTCTCGAAGCTCAAAGCAACAATGTTTCTCTCAGATACTTTTTTCTCTCCATCCATGACGAACATCTGTCATAATGTCAATGCTTCAACATTCCTGGGCAGTTGATTTCAACAATGTAATACACACGGCCTCATTCACGGCGTCATCGCAAAGATTCCTTCCAAATACCCACCACGTGATCAGGGTTACGACCTTGGGATAAATTAATAAATTATTTTGCATTTTTAGAAAAGATTTGTTTTCGTGAATATTTTTTTTTTAAATATCCTGTACATGGTACTTTTGGATTGCACTGGGTATTTCTTTTATTACTTTCTAAAACTTTTTATTTTCGCCTTTCTGACCACGCGATCTCCTAGCAACCACGCCCCATGAGCGCATCGAGTTGCTGCTTACAACTGTCAAGAACTTTGCAATTTCGCTTGTCTTCAATATGAGCAACAAAACATTTTCATGTGAAGCCTAATTTGACGAAGAATTGTTCGAGATAATCAGGGAGCCTTAGGTAATTTCGATTATGACATTGGTGACTTTATTGTGGAGAAAGTTCCAATTCAAGATGACATCATTCCGATTCACAACTCGAATCGACAAGATGGCGCCTCTCTTCCCGCCCTTGCAAGTGCAACAGAAACTTTGATAAATTCAGTGCCGATTCTTGGGATTAGTGAATCAGTGTCACAGCTAGATTTCATTGTGGAACCAGATGAAGCCGAATATGTATGTTCACACTTCTTTTGTCAACCATGCGTGACACGGCACAGGCAATCGCAGTTAGGGAATGGTGCGGCCACCATGTTGCAGAAATTCGTCGATTCGAACACATTGCTTCTGGACTGAGCTAAATAAACGAAGTGTTTGGAGAGATCGTAGATACTTGGACTTGAAGAAACGGAAATAAACGTTGCAGCAGATGAAGGATCGGTGTGGACAAAACGGGAAAGGGATCCCAGATTATATTTTAAAACTTGTGCGCGAAGTGTTTCCAAATACCCCGAACAAAAAATACATGGGACAAGTGTGGATCTAATGATCAAACTCAGTTTTGTTTGTGAAAATTCTGTGAAAGAAAAGGAAATTCATAATTAAAGTTGTCTTGGAATATGTGTATTGGAGTTTTCGTTTATCGTAAGTACAATATTATCTGGATACGCCTTCAGTAGGTCAAAACATCAGGTATATTTCGTTACTTATTAACCAGTTGCTTATGTGCATTGTTATGTTGATACATCTATTGAAGTCAAGCTGAGAAATATTGGCGCAACTTCTGGTGCTTCAAATTAGGCCCCTTCCTAAACACTAGTTGAAAAATCGGTGTAATAATTTAGGTTTTATAAATATTAACTTATTATTGTGTGGCACAAATCTAACTGTTGAATACAAATGACCAAAACTAAACAAATATCTGTAATTTTCGGATTGAACTGAAAGAATCGCGTCGTCAATTTCGTATTTAAATATCATTACTGTTACATTAACCGAAACTGAAGTTCTGACGTAAAAATATGCAACACAATTCACTTTGACCACAAATGCATTGAATGTGTCACATGTACACACGACCATGTGCTTTGCTATTTATAGCGCAACCGTAAATAAGCTCCGCCCACTGTGATTGATGCAGACGCCAAACACGATCGATTCGATTTTTTATGATAAAACTACAGAAAATCTATTGACTTATGTCTTGATATGGAGCCATTTGTTGTATCCATGGTTTGTCATTCAAGTTGATACTAAGTTTGACGGTCAATGGTGATCTGGTTCCCTTATGGTTTTCAAAAAACGTCTCCCGACACTCGGTTGTGTTTACATTGTCAGTCATTGTTCGAAACTGCCACCTTGCGGGCTATTTATAGTCAGGGTGGGGCTTTAAACAACAAACAAACAAGCAGAATGAAAGTCGCTTTGTCGTAAATCCGACATAATCATATATACCAACTATGTCGGATTAACGGGACACGACTCTAGCTGGAAAATTGCTGAATGCGGCGTTAAACAACAACAACAACAAAAAACTTACGTTTTTGACAAGGTGCTCGGTGGTAGGTGTCCTCTGAACATGGAGAGCAAATATCATCACAGTATTTTCTGCTGAAGCCCTGAGCACAACCGATACACAGTCCGGTGTCCTTCTCACACCCCTCACAGCCGACGGGACAAGGATCAGAGCAATTTAGTCCGTGATAGTTCTTGTCGAGACAGAGTCCTATACATGTGTTATCATAGCGACCACACAGTTTGCAGTTAGATGGACAAGATTCATTACAAAACTCTCCTCTCAGACCCATGGAGCAGTTGAGACACACTGCTGACGTTTTCTCACATCTGTCACAGTTACGTGGACAAGGGATAGTGCACATATTTCCATGATAGTTAGCGTTAATACACGGCCCAGTGCAGTGCACGTGGTTTTGAGTGAAATCAATATTTGTTTTACAGTTTGGGTGGCATGTTGTTTTACAAGATGTACTGTCACAATTATCTCCATGTTCATCACATCTTCCCTCTGTAACCCGACACGCATCTGTCACACTCCCCAGTGTCTTTATCGCAACCATCTCTACAGTTCGGGGGACAGGTAACATCACACTTGTTCCCCATGTAACCTGGCTCACAGCTGCCACAGTACTTCCCTGCGTAACCTGGTTCACAGCTGCCACACTCCCCCGTGTCTTGATCACATCCATCTCTACAGTTGGAGGGACAGGCATCATTACAGTTCTTCCCTCTGTAACCCGACACGCAGCTGTCACATTTCCCCGTGTCTTTATCACATCCACCCCTACAGTTGGGGGGACAGGTAACATCACACTTGTCCCCTGTGTAACCTGGCTCACAGCTGCCACACTCCCCCGTGATCCGATTACATACATCTGTACAGTTGGAGGAACAAGATGTTCTACAGTGTGGACCGTAATACCGGGGATTCTGACACGGTCCTGTACAACCATCACCATAACGTTCACACTGTGTACAGGCTGTAGGACAGTTCATACCACAGTTATCTCCCTTCTTGCCGGCCACACATCCCTCTGTACACACAACACGGGTGTTGTTCATCTGACAGAGAGAGTTGAGACAGGTGTCTGGACAGTCATGTTCACAGCGTTTACCATAGAACCTGGAGTCTAGACACTGGAGACACTCTCCAGATGACGTCACATTGACACAGCGAGGTAGACACACACCGTCAAGACACGTCACGTTGTTACCATCACAGTTGCTACAAGGAGTACTGGCTGCGAAAGCTGTGAACAATTGCGTGGTTGTCAACAAAATGTCGGACACTATTGAAAGAGAATAAGTCTGAAAGACATTTGGTTTTCTTATTACGACTGAAAGCATTCTGATCGAAAGAAGTAACCATCTATTTTAAAATGTCTTCATCGGCCATTACCATTTGAAAGCAGGGTTCGTATTACGTGTTGACGTCCGAGAGTCATGATGAATCCCTAGATCTTAAATCAGATGCAAATATATATACAGAATATTTCCATTGTATTATGGGCCGGTGGCCTGAAGTACCGAATAAATTTGTCTGTCTGTCTGTCAAATCATATGGGACCGTTGGCTATATTGGCTATATCTCACCAATCCTCACAATGGTTTATATTCTTCTGTGCCAAATACACAGTAGGTTTGCGTCAGGAAAACATTTACATGTGAAAAAACTATTATTCCAAACAACATGGGTGTGAGACAATGATGATACACGTACGCACAGGCCAACAGATGGTGACAGAGAATGTATTGCGATCTTGAATGATCGATAGCAAGGACTTAAAAATACATGTATACGAACCTGCTGATGTAGCACACAGTAGGATAATCACCACGATTGTATCCATGGTTGAAGCGTGGAAGAGCCCTGAAAATAGATAGAGAGGGTGCTTTTGCGATTTAACAGTTAAACGGTTTAACAACATTTGAGTAACTGTTGATCACGTCCATTAGTTCTGTGGAGCACGTTAAGTAGCAGATCACATTCCCACTTAAAGAAACACCACGAGGCTCCTATTGAGAATTTCATTTTGTGTGTAGAGGGTTAATGTACCAAATGGAAAGGAAAACAATGTTATTTGGCCCTTGAACATATTCATAACACCATATAGATGTTTTACGCGGGTCTACAATTTCATTATGTGATAGAGATATACTATAGTCGTTTTAATGCAGTAATACTGGGGTCTTTTCTATACCTAACACGGGAAAAACATTTCATATGACGAAGCTTGATGTGACATAGATATGTTGGAGTTTTTGAATGTTTGTGAAACGTTTGGGACTCTAGAGTAGACACATTGATTCCGATACAAGCTCGGTCGAATATTGAAGCACTGTATACGAAAATTAATCACTTGCATAAAACAAATCAAATGCTGTAAAATGTATCCACATACACGGTTAGTTTGATGCAGAGATGACAGGTAAACTGACATATTCAAAACGCGTAAAATCCTACTTGCTTTCTCATTTACTCAGGTATATACATTTTTTTCTCTTTTTCGACTTGAGGAAGATAACACTCCATAAATCCGAGGTGTATTGAGTGTCTACAGATAGTTTGTTTGTTTGTTGTTTAACGCCGCACTCAGCAATATTCCAGCTGTATGACGGCGTTCTGTAAATATTCGAGTCTGGACCAGACAATCCAGTGATTGACATCATGAGCATCGATTGAGGCAATTGGGATAAGATGACATGCATCAACCATGTCAGCGAGCATGACCATCCGATCCGTAAATCGCCTCTTACGACAGGCATAGTCGCCTTTAGCGGCAAGTATGGGTTGCTGAAGACCTGTTCTACCCCGGATCTTGAAGGGTCCTACAGATAGTGGGGCGCACGGGTAGCCTAGTGGTTAAAGCGTTTGCTCGTCACGCCGAAGACCCGGGTTCGATTCCCGACATTGGTACAACGTGTGAAACACATTTCTGGTGTCCCCCGCCGTGATATTGCTGGAATAGTGCTAAAAGCGGCGTAAAACCATACTCACTCACTCACCCACTCACTCACTCACTACATGCAGTAATATAGCTAAAACATTTGTAAACACCTTAATTAATCACTCGATAAAGGGTTAGGAAAGTCAAAAGTGACGCACACGATGTACAGTTTACCATTCTGATGAAACAATGAACACAAGGATTGGTGCCTATCTATCACTCACTCCTACAGATAGTAGTCATGTGGTACAGTAATTAGACAGTCGATAACACGTGGTTAATACCTTAAAATATTCACCTTGATGGCTTTGATATGTATATCTGTGCTTGCCAGCTGCCTTCTCACAATATGAAGGAGAGGACCGCCAGTAGGGCGAAGGGTTCAGTGTATTCAGTACTTGTCTTCAGATCATATTTCCTTCACTGGCGGAAGCAAATGGAAATATGGCCAATGTGTCACATGTTCACAAAACTTAATATGTCCTTGTTTGCAAGAGGGTTAAGTTTTAAAATGAATCTGGAATCTCAAAAGGTTGTTCTCAAAATACTTCTATTTTCTACCTCGATATTTAACAATAACAATAATCCATATAAATTGTGTAGAACAGGGAACTATTAACGTCTACATAGTATTATCTAGTCGACATCTCAATCTTTGAGTTCTCTGGATAAGTCTTTGATAGGCATTTAGAAGTTGGGAGAACATGAATACATGACACATTTTATGGATAGCAACTTCTCTTGAGAGTGGAAAAGCACATTGTCCGTCAAATTCAGGTCACCTATAAAACTGCACTGTGATATCGATCTACGTGAACCCATTTCATGCGAGATATATCAGTACACACAAAGACTATATTTCAATATATGAAGTCTCAACGATAGACCAATGCATAGAACGACTTGGCGTGGGTAGCGAGCTGGGAATTGATAAACGAATGAGTGGATGGTGTTTTATACACAGACAGCAATATTCGATGGATATTTATCATGGTAAATAACTGAGTTCGGGCAGACAAACAAAAAGTAGTAATTGAATGCATGAGGAACGATCAATGCCGTCGGGGTGCAATAGCAAACAATCAGCCATAAGGGTCACATCGTGACCATTAGACTCTCGACTCTGACGGTGCTGATGGTTTTTGCCCCAGGATCCCTACAGGTGTAATGTTGCAATGGTACGGGCAAGAGACGGACAAATTACCCGTCTGAGTATGTTGAATCTAGCATTACATGCCAACAAAACACGTATTATGTTTTCATACTATAACCGATTTGCCGCCATTCTATGCCAAGATTGATTCAGAATGTGTAGAATTAGTCAATTATGTGTGTTTATATTGCTTGGTATGGGCTTTGGTGAATGTAATTCCCCTTAGACACAATGAGGAAGGCATATTCAATCTTATGAAGAAATTATACATTATGCATATTTTCATACTAAAATCGATAGGCGCGAGTGTTTCAGCTTGCCCTTTTCGAACGACCGGTGTAATCACTGATTTTCAGTGATCCATTCATATATTTTGCCGTTTAGGGCCCAATGGAATCTGTTTCAGAGATTTGTTGTTCTCTTGTGTTGACTTTTTTTATATTTAGTTTTCAGTGTTGTATAATTACAATATATTTTTACCATTGAACTAATTTGGTGGGTGGGTCTACAAAGAGTAAGAGCCCACAGTATCGACAAGAGAGTATAGTTCTTGATATTACTTTGAAACGTAAGGCCAAACCAGAAACGGACTCCGCTTAATCAGACTTAGAATGCAATTTCTTGAATTTGAAATTTGAAAACAAGGGAATTGCGCCCTTAAATTTAAGTTACATTCTCAGGCAAAGATCAGTTGCCAAACATGTCCCACAATATTTCAAATTCCAGGAACCACCAACAATTTCATTTTCCTATATTTCCTATTTCATCTTGGTTGTTCAATTATAGGAAAGTGTTGCAGAAGTGGATTTGGCAGCTAATATGTAAATTCCACTACTTGTGTCTGCCAAGAGGCAGTATGCCGCCACCAACCTGTAGGTCATATAATCACAGGTGACTGCTCTATTGCTCTATGTGAGGGTGGGGCATTTAGGCAAGAAGTAGGTATCCCCATGGGCACCAATTGACTCCCCTTCTTGCTGATATGTTTCTCTATGTATATGAATCGGAATTTCTGCTCGGATTGGCAAAGTCACAACAAGGTAATTTGGCCTAGAAGTTTAACTTATGTTTCAGGTATATCGATGATCTGATATCATTCAAAAGCCATGAAATAGCCAATCCCTTCCTCTGATTTATCCACCTGAACTAGAAATAAAGGAGACAAGTGAGACCGCCTCATCTATTTCATATTTAGATCTATGCATAAAGATGCAAAGTGACAAAATACTCTCCACAAGAGCATATGACAGGAGAGATGACTTCAACTTTCCCTTTATGTCGAGCAATATTCCTTCAGCTCCAGCCCTCGGTGTCTATATTTCACAACTTTTGAGGCACAATCGACATGATCGTTCTACCAATTTTTAAAAATCGTCATATGATTAAAGCAGACGCTATTTGATTTACGTTACAACATTCAAGGTCACAGTAAAGCTTTCAAACGTTTTATGGTAGTCATGTGGAGTACATTTCCAAATTTGACGCATCAGTGACGAAAGTTATCTCTTATGCAATTCCTTATTTTGACTTGTACCATATGTATCCGTGTGGTTTTTTTTCAGGTGAACAATGGCCTTGCATTTACAAATGTTTGTGACGAGTATCACCAGTGGGGAACAAAATGCTCACCTGGTATGATCACTGTCTGATAGTAATTCATTAACACGTGCACTTGATAGAGTCGGAATCGTACAATCGAGATTTCTTATAAACATGGTAAGGGTTTTGTCGCTTTTATTGTTATAAGATCAATTTTTAGTATTCAGCGAATATGTATTGAATAACGGATTATGTGTATGTGGAATCGGTCGATTTTTGTAACTGTTGACAGCAACGACTGAGACACGGGAGAGGTCATAAGATGCAATGTGCATGTCAGTTGTATGAGTAATCCACTGGATGACTATACAACAACCACTCGTGTGCCTCTGTTTCTTGTTTCTGTTCCGTGCATTCTTCACAATCTCGTCACAGTCATCCTGTTGTTTTTGAAGAAAGTTTTAGCATTTTGTATGATGAGAACAAACTCTATACATGTTGGACATATATAGGATTGTTGGAAACAATGAAGGATGGCATGTCTCCATTAAGTATGACAGGTATTTGATGTGTGACATCCAGCCACAGCCACTAATACGTGCTCCCGTGAAACAATTAGAACGAGTTCTAGCCTATTTTGATAACGGACATGTACGTAAACAATCACAGTCTCGATGCTGAATAGATAATAATTATTTAATGTGGTGTTTACACGATATACGGCTTTTCCATTGGACGAGAGGTCGGTCACATGACCGCAAAAGTTAAGTTCATAACGTAAAGAACGACACATTTTGACGTTCATATTTTTTAGGTGACTGTTTTCTTGAAATGATGTAAACACTGACGAACTACTTCCACATTCTTGGGGAAACCCTTGGGAATTCCCAAGCATGAATAAATACGTTCTTTCTGATTATTTAGACCCTTTAAGTTTGAACTTAGCGTTTAAGAATACACTGGGATAAGTCAGAGTTTAGCTGCATGCCCGTTCAAGAATATCATCGCTACGACTTATCCCAGTGAACAAAACGAAGAAATGCACATCCAAACTGTCGCAAAATCGACTCTATCTGTGTCAAGACTCACATGAATTTACCTTTGTCGGCCAATTGATCAATGATGGCGAACATTTGTTATCGCCACAGGTTCATTTACAACATCGGAAATCTCTCTCGTCACGTTTATCGTGTCGGTCATTTTGACGTTTTGTACTTGATGTAAATGTATTACGACGCGATGTCATTGTGACTGACTTACCTAGGTAGTTCTTAACATACCTTTTTCATGTAATGGTGATATTATTTGACTCTTTGTGTTGTAAACAAACTACAATAGATGTCACTGTTGGCATACAATCACTCATGTCACCTCTCATTTTGAGGAACTACTTCATTGCGCGATACAGCTGGTTGATGTATGGCTGACAGCGTAAACATGAAGTCACGCGTACTAATTATAAATAAAATTGTGTAAAGATGTACATAATTCGAGGTAAGAAGTGATAACAAAATTATTAGAATTGACTTGTGGAAGTAACTTACCGCAAGTATACTACATAGATATTGCTTATAGCATGTTTAAGTAAGACTCCCTCACTCACGCATGACATGCGGTCTCTTGGTTCGTTGATTCATTATGGCATAGGCTTTATCAGGTACACAGTCTTGTACTTGTGATGTGGAGAACGCGCAATCACAACAAATGTATGAGCATTAAACAGATTATTTTGTCGATTGATCACTTTGTGGGTCTGCAAACACAAACTGGGCTGATAGAGGGGGGGGGGGGAAATAACATGTTACGTTTATATTTGAACATACAGATTTTTATTCATCAATTTGATCAAATTCTTCTGACGATAAAATCACTTTTTATATACGTTTTGTATTGAAAACTAATCTTGGTCTCCCTATCAATGGATTGTTATCTGGATATCTCTTTACATTCCTACTTCTCGCCCAATGGTGGTTTATATATTCACGTGCATAATACAATGTTTTGATGAAAACACAATGAAGAAAGTGGTGCCACGTTGTCACATCATATACACCAATACATCGTTCATTGTCTCGCACGGATGAAGAATGAAATGAACACACATACTATATTACTCTTGGTGTGATACTTCTCATATGGGTCTGAAATTTTGTAATAATACATTTCTTCATGAAGTTATGACTTGCTTTTTGTCTTAATCCGGGGTTATAATTGATTACACTCTGTCTTCACCCTCGCACACGGGGCGGTCGGGTAGCCTAGTGGTTAAAGCGTTCGCTCGTCACGCCGAAGACCCGGGTTCGATTCCCGACATGGGTACAATGTGTGAAGCCCATTTCTGGTGTCCCCCGCCGTGATATTGCTGGAATATTGCTAAAAGCGGCGTAAAACCATACTCACTCACTCACCCTCGCACACTGATTCATGCGCTAATGTTCACATATTCCCTCCTATTTCCCATCATATCAATATAGGGACAGTATACATTTACATCCACCAAAGTTAATACATTTTGGGCTTTTTTCCTCTCCCTATCAGTCTATCCAATGTGCTTTGCAGTGAACAGGCGAAAGGAGAATAAGTGAGCAAGTGACTATAGGTTAATGTCACCAGTATTATAGCTATTCAAATCTGCACATCATTAGGAACAATGCATCTCAACAATACAACGTTTTAGAACTATTTACAACCTTAAACATTAGGCTGCTATTAGGGATAATTCGTGAATATGTTTCATGTTCTTGGATGCTGAGAGTGAATAGTAGTCGACAAATGATGTGGTTTAACACTGATTGTATTATTTACCTAAACATCGTCGCGAACTGAAAGTCAAAGAGATATCATAAACATGTGCAAAGTCAAAAATTGTATTTGTCTGGCGAAATGCCCTGAAACTATCGTTACTTCCCCAAAAGAAGGAAAATTAATTTCTTGACTCATAGGGAGGACGTTGATTGTAAAGAAAAAATGAGTGATAGTGTTTGTTCACCGTGATCGTAAACTTCAAAATTTATTACAATCAAGATGAAATTCTTCTTCCATGCCTTTGTGAAATTTAGATATGTTTAGGTATACAACAAACAACAGACTCTCACATGTTGAATGTTTTCATGTTACTTCTCAATAGTATGCGTGTCACTATCGAGTATCTTGATTCGAGCCGAATCTAACCCAAGATAACCCTAGAGTCACATAGCACATGATTACGCTTGCCTGCAAGTGAAGGATGTTTTGTCTTAGGCTTTCATATATTTAGCATGTGAGTTCGGTATCATAACATTTCTAGGTGAAATATTTGCAGTGAGTATAATGTGCATGCAGGAAGTAAGAGTGCCAACGGGAGTGCCATTAGAAATTGAGAATAACCATTTGGACGATGGTTGTTTGATAAAAAAAAAAGTCTATACTCTTCAGGGGCCAACAATTTAATATTCGGATGGGTGGAGGCTGGGAAAAAAATTAGTCGACGAGGTAAATGTTATTTGTTTATCTATTTTTTTGGGGTGACAACAAGAGACCTTGACTATGAAACGTATCTAAATCCTTTTGCAGTGAACAGTAATCCTATTCTGTAATGCTAGCTTCGACGTCGGAAAGTATAGTTCTTTCTCTATATGTTCCTTGGACAGGTAGGCCATGATTGTCCAGGTATGGACGGAATCTCATACGGCATGAGATAGCGTAACCATGATAAGCTAGAAAACTAGGAATGACATGTGACTTTGTTGTGATGTTAGCTTATCCCCTCCTCAGAATATTGGCTCCTCAGAATATCAGCCTGCAGATGATAATCATATAATTTCTTGAGTGTATACTTTCGAAACCTAATATAAACAATTTCAATATCAGATTAACTTGATACCTGAACATTCTAGCGTTTGAACATTCTAGCATCGCAAAATTGGCGTCATAGTGCTCCACATTGAACGAAAAAGGAGGAATGTTTCTATATGAAGTAGCAATCTTATTTAACAACTCGATTAGATTAAACTTCATCGTAATAAAGATATCGTAACATCATACCCATCTTACAAAGATTTTCCCTGAATTAATGTTGTACCCACGAGCATTTATTATATATTCACTCCTAGCTATGACAAAAGCTGAAATTAGGGCGAAAATAGATAAAACTGCATCAGTATTATAAAAGCTTTGTGATTAATGATGTAGAACCGATGCTATGAAAGAGGGTGTATGACAAAGAATAAAAAGTGTTTCATCGTTGAAATTTATTGCTACTCAGCAGATAATGTAAAACAAACAATGGAACTATACTATTTGCACTGTAACCATTTCAGCATTATTTACATGAAAACCAAACATAATATATTGCAACATAATGATGACCATAATATTCATAAAATGGAATAACTATACATTGTATAACATTTAATGAAAACTAAACGGATAAAGAATGGTTTGCGGAAAGTAACCACTGTAGGCCTCAGCAACATTTCAACGACCAGTGATTGAACATCTGAACGATGGCACACAATCGGCCAGATTCATCACGTCGCGAATGATCCCATTTTTTGGCGTTGATAAGCACGAGGTACCGGAACCGGAACATAAACAAATGAAAGTAGATATGAATATGAACGTTCAAGAGAATAAGCAGTGGTTAGTCTGGGAGTAAGAATCCACATTGAAGATATTTTAATGTTGAAAACGGTTTCTTGATTCAAGCTTTGATGGCGTGAATACTTCATTTCTTGTTGACAAATTTCCGCTTTAACTGAACAATATTCAAATATAATTAATTATATAAATTATATAATTAAGGTGAACTTTTATCCTCAACATTATTAGTGGCAAGATATTTCACACATACATTTGACAGATCACAACTTTCTTCAATAAATATAATTGAAGCAGTCTTTCTGGTCAATCGCTCGATTTGTTCCGACATAACCATATCAGCGTCACCTACTTCCTGACTACTCTGATACTGTGACTCATTGTCACTCCCAGCTGATGCTCCTCTCAACAACAGCAAGGACGAGGCTCTTACAACACCATCACCTACAGCAGCATCCGGAGCTGTCAGTCCGGGTTCACTCACTGCTCTTGTCTCTGACAAAGAAGACGATTTTCTTTGACATCGCTGGCCATCTGTCAAAAGGTTCCTTGTTGCAAGTCTTCTGTGGGGGATTCCTGTGAGAGGTAATGCAGGTTGAACTGCATGTTCAGGTTGCGGGGGACTTGTCTGACCAGACTCGTAATGATCACCTATTTCCCAGTACCTGTGTGCCAGGCTGTCACTGTACTCGCTGTGAGTGGTGCCGTTTGTGCCGCTAGCGTGGGTTCTGTTCCTGAAATAAAATGAAATTATGTTTAAGCTTTAGAAGATACATTATATATGGAAAACGGTACTGTACCATAAAGTGTTGCAGTACGGTTTAAGAAGCGTGACATTTTTAGGTAACATTAGAAGTTTTGTTCAAATACGTCAAAATTGGTCAAAATATCCTCGAGACAGTTGGGTATACTAGTGTTACAATGTAGCACAAATACGTTTTTTACTATCGCAAAATGCATGTTAAATAACTCCTTAAGAGGATTTCTCAAAGTCAGACTTCACGTTGACATTGGCATGTACTTACACAGTAATGATGTACTGACTGAAAGCTTTTTACATGCAACACTTACCCCTTCTGCGTGTGTCTCCAAAACGCAATGATCAATGCCAGCACAATGACTACAGCAACTGTTCCAGTAGTAATGGCCACGGTGTGGTCAGTTTTACCTGGAAAAAAACCCACATTTTTATTTCAGTGAAAAGAGTTAGTGAGTTGGGTTTAACGCCGCTTTCAACATTATTCCAGTTATATCACGGCATGTCAGCTTAACGTGGGAGGAAAGCCCGAAGTTATGCAGGTCTCAGACATTTACCACTTCGGTGAAACCCACGAGCACGTGTATGGTGCTGACAAACCTAGAAACATAATCGGGGAGAATCGGGATTCGAACCCACAATCATAGGTTTCTGGCGTGTCAAAGGGACGCAACTCTGCACAGCGAATCGCGGCGTCTTAGACGACTGGGCCACCCGTGCCCCCTCAGTGAAAAGAAATAATTGTTACCATAAGAGTCCCCCACGAGAGAAAATGGCACGAGTGTCTTAACCAGCTGACTTTCCCCCACGTATGTCCATATGTTTATTTATTTATTTGTCAAAAATATTGTATCAGATCTAAGTCCAAGCATACTAACGTTTACGACAAGGTGTTCTGTAACAGGTGTTCTCTGAACATGGAGAACATATTTCATCGCAATATATCCTGCTGAATCCCTCGGCACACTCCATACACAGACCAGTCTTCTTGTGACATCCTTCACAGCTGACAGGGCATTGGATCGAACAGTCGCGTCCATAGTAACCACTGTTTGGGCATGCGCCAATACATATTTCCCCATAGCGCTCACACTGTGTACAGTTAGACGGGCATGTGTCATCGCACAACTCTCCTCTCAATCCCAGTTTACAACTAATACATTTCCCAGTGTCTTTATCACATGTATCACATTTATCAAAACAGGGGATGTTACAAGCCTGTCCAAAGTAGTTTTTGTTGATACATGGTGTATTACATGTCTTACTGAAATAGTTAAACTCGACGCAGTTTGCAGGACATATCATTTTACATGTTGGACTATGGCAGTCTTCCCCTTTACAAGGTGTGCACTGATCACCGCATCCAGCCCGGCAGTGCTGTTCAGCACACTGTGCACACAATCCTGTCTCCTTGACGCATGCACGACATTGTACCGGGCACTGAAGAGTACAATCATTTCCGTGGTAGTTCCATCTGTGACATGGTCCTATACAGTTCACACCGTGCTGCTGGCATTCTGTACATTGTGTTGGACATGAATCGTTACAGAACTTCCCTCTGTAACCTGGCTCACAGCTGCCACAATCACCCGTGTCCTTATCACATCTACCCTTACAGTTGGGGGGACAGGTAACATCACACCTGTCCCCTCTGTAACCCGGCACGCAGCTGCCACACTCCCCCGTGTCTTTACCACATCCATCTCTACAGTTGGGTGGACAGGTAACATTACAATATGTGCGCATGTAACCTGGCACGCAGCTGTCACACTCCCCCGTGTCTTTGTCACATCCATCTCTACAGTTGGGGGGACAGGTAGCATCACACTTGTCTCCTGTGTAACCTGGCTCACAGCTGCCACACTCCCCCGTGTCTTTGTCACATCCATCTCTACAGTTGGGGGGACAGGTAACATCACACTTGTCCCCCATGTAACCTGGCTTACAGCTGCCACACTCCCCCGTGATCCTATTACATCCATCTGTACAGCTGGAGGAACAAAGTGTTCTACAGAGTGGACCGTAATACCGGGGATTCTTACAAGGTCCTGTACAACCTTCACCATAACGTTCACACTGTGTACAGGCTGTAGGACAGTTCATACCACAGTTATCTCCCTTCTTGCCGGCCACACATCCCTCTGTACACACAACACGGGTGTTGTTCATCTGACAGCGAGAGTTGAGACAGGTGTCTGGACAGTCATGTTCACAGTGTTTACCATAGAACATGGAGTCCAGACACTGGAGACACTCTCCAGATGACGTCACACTGACACATCGAGGTAGACACACACCGTCAACACAGGTCACGTTGTTACCATCACAGTGGCTGCATGGTGTGCTTGTAGAGGAAACTGTCGATTGAGAAAGGAACAAAATATAGCATTGTAATCAATTAACAAATTATTAATATTTAAGAGAGGAATGAAGACTTACAGAGATTTACTGTATTGTCTCGCAAAGAACATTGTTTGAATTAGTATCATATGTTAGAAGACAACATAAATATGTTTTATCGGTAAATATCATGAATATCCTTTAATTATATTTTGTACTCTGTTGCATTAACCTGCGGTGGAAATCTTTCCTCTGAATAAGGAAAAGATATATGGATGAACAACTACTTTATTACAATTGGGAGCGACGTTTCGGTGTAGGTTTTAACACCGTTATCAAGTGACCCTTGGCCAGGTCTGCAATGTGTTGCTGGTTGTGGTTCTTGCTGCTTAAGTTGATGACCGTCTTGCCGTCTTGATGACCGTCAGTGGCAGATGTTCTTGTAGGGTGATGGTTTTTGGTGTGTTTCTTGAGGTTATTGAACTTGTTTATATGAGTCTTTGTTTGTGGCACTTGCTTTTGGTCGGGATCTTTCTGAGGGTGGAGTAGGTGTTTTCTACTGGAGGTAGTTGTGGTGCTTTGTGATGGCACCTAGGGTGTAGGACTTGGTTTTGCGGTGGTGGCGTATCCGCTCTATGACGAGGAGTTGCTGGATAACGATGTTAGAACCTACACTGAAACGTCGCTCCTAATTGTAATAAGGAAGTTGTTCATCAATATATCTTATCCTTACTTAGTACACCAACTTCTGAATGCCTCTCGAAGAAGTCTTTCATCTGTATTCTCAATTGTCGACAATGTCGATTTAAATAGATGATACTATTAATTGTTTTGATGACGTGACGCAAGTTGCATAGACTGCATTATATGACAGAAATTGGTGATTGATTCGTTTTGGAACCTTATAATATTTCAGATGCAATAGTCTGTACCTGATGCTATTGTAGCAGAGCGTGGAGTCATCCTACAGATGACATCCTTACCTTGTCAGCTTGCTGACGGGGTTAACCTCTTTGGTCATGTGGACAAGGCGTCCGACCTCTGATCAGAAGGTCCGTAGTTCGAATCCCATCACGGGACCCGGACATTTTATGGCCGCTACATTATGTACTGATTATACAAAGTGGAACCGTATCGCTTAATACACCATCACTAATACCAGTTTATAAGTTAACGAAAAACTCTCACCGTTCAGAAAAAACAGAGATAGCAGGAGGATCGTTGTCCAATAATGACACCGTGGAAAATGTATATCCATTGCGAAGATGATCTGCAAAACAAAGATAATGGAATTGTTTTTACACTCTTTCACGCTTCCATAACAACAGAAATATTTAAGGCACCTCTTTCTTAGCATTATTAGACTGTTTTCAATATAGAGCTATGTTACTTGTACATACGGAACCGAACGCGCGCAAATTTTAATCATCCATATGGAAACAAACAAGAGGGACAATCATCTTTATCGTACACCATCATTTAAAATAACAAAATATAACGCGCATCTTCACTCGCTGAAGTAACTTTGAGAATCACGCAATGATACAATAAATACTCTGGGTATTATTTCATGCATCAGTAACATAACAATATATATTCCTGGGTTATATCCATGCTTTTTGTAAACGCAATTTGTTCTATTTCATACATTCTTGGAATAAAACTAAATTTACTTTTACCTTGCTCCAGTGTATATGTTGCAATGCAGCCCTGTTCCCGTTAATGACGTTGAGAATCCACCGCTCACCAGGATAGTTTCAGTGTCCGGCTTGATTCAACGATCAAGCTTGGACTTATTTGTTTAAGCTTTAAGACGTAGTCTGCTTTCATTTTCCCTTACCGAACGAATCACTAGATATCATGATTATAATATAATCTGTTTTCGTTTTGCAGAGTACATATCAACCTTGATGGCGTTCATGTACTTGAAAATGAGATACGATAGACACGATGTGGTTTTGGTTTGGTTTGTTGTCTAACGCCGCACTCAGCAATATTCCACTTATATGACGGCGGTCTGTAAACGTAAATAATCGAGTCTGTGAGAGTGGGAGGTGCTACCTTATGTCCTCACTGAGTTCCAGTGATCCATTCACATAAGTTTCATTGCTGTTTTGGCTTTTACGCCCGTTGCAATCTGTTTTGACAGGTTATTCTCAGGCGACATCACCAAAATGGAATTGCTCATGACATTGTTATTAAGGCAGTTATTAGCACAGGACCTGCACTAGGGCTTCAATGGGTCAAAAATTTTGGCGTGCGTGAAACTCGACTGTTACTCCAGTGCCCGACAATAACACATTCCCAATTGCGTGGATTGATGCTCATGCTATCTATCACAATCCAGTGATCGATATCATGAGCATCGATCCACGCAATTGGGATAAGATGACATGCATCAACCAAGTCAGCGAGCCTGACCACCCGATCCCGTTAGTCGCCTCTTACGACAAGCATAGTGGCCTTTTACGGCAAGATTGGGTTACTAATGAAGTATTTTGGGAACAACCTATTTAGATTCCATTCTCATTTAAAAACGTCTGCACACAAGATTGGTTGGTTTGTTTGTTTGTTGGTTGGTTGTTTAACGCCGCACTTAGCAATGTTCCAGCTGTATGACTGCGGTCTGTAAATAATCGAGTCTGGACCAGACAATCCAGTGCTTGACAACATAAGCATCGATCCACGCAATTGGGATCGATGACATGCATCAACCAAGTCAGCGAGCCTGACCACCCGATTCCGTTAGTCGCCTTTTACGGCAAGCATAGTCACCTTTTACGGCGAGCATGGGTTGCTGAAGAACTATTCCACCCCGGATCTTCACGGGCAGGATGCATTGTGTTCGGAATTTGGAACTAGGGTCAATTATTTTCCAGCATGTGCTTCAGATAAGCGGTATTGGAGCGAACACCTGGACTACCTGTACCTGTACCTGTACCATGATGCCAAATGATACAGGTATTTAAAGACAACAAGTCTATTGTGTTCCTGAAGAGAACTTTATTCTTACTCAAGCAGCATGTAGCAATTGGGGTGCAATAGAAAGCCATACACAATATATTTAGAGTAAATATATACAAACACGATCATATATTCTAAGATTACATTTCATTTTTTAAATCCCCAATCTATCATAAACATAAGCAATATTCAGTGTAATTTGATAGAAATGCTTCACACATCCGAACAATAGAATTCCATGTTTAAGGTAGTTTATAAAATTAACATGCCAAAAATGAAAAATATATATGTATGTATTAAATTATAATCATTTTCTGTTAAAATTAGAAAAACATTTCCATCTTACAGTCTGGAGTATCTCCAGGCGATAAAGTATATACAAATTTCAGTACACTTCCTGCATTGTCATGCGTCATGACTACTACATCAGATGTCTTCTCTTACAGACAAATGCCTAATTGTGTCATGTCATATATTATCATGACATATACATATTACATATATCTTGGATCAAAGGGTTTTCTGTTGTGTTTTACGTACATGTACATATGCGACCGCATCCGTGGTCTAAAACAAGGACTGGTCAGCACACTGTGTCTGAGTGGGGTATTCATGATCATGTTAAACTGCGACAAGGTATCTCAGTGGGCAAGCACTATTAAACCGACATCACCTCACCTCACCTCACCTCACCTCACCTCACCTCACCTCACCTCACCTCACCTCGACACGTATATATGCCGCAAAGCTTATATAAAAAGGAGTCAAATGTAGATTTCAAAATATTTTTCTTGAACATATGAGTATCAATATCAATGTAAGATATTTGGAGTTTGTGTTCGGGTTGGGACAGAAAGTACTTTCAACAGAAAAGGAAGACAAAAATTATACAATTTGAAAAGTATGGAAGCGTATAAGTGCCACAGTAAAATATCATACAATACGTTCACCTACGTAGATGGTACTACTCACATCTATATAAACGTAGAACTGAGTTAAGATTTAACGTCACATCGGCAGTATTTCAGCCATATCGTGACGAGCCATCTACGTAGAAGACACTTTCATCTACACACATGATATTATAAGCTACATAGAAGATAGTGTCATTTACTGTCGAATCATCGACTTTTTGTTCCGGGTCAGTTATATATAACCCCTGGCTTAATTAATAATGACCGATTTGTTTTACTTTCTATCTTGACATGTCTTTATTGAGGTACTATCTAAACATTAAAATACAGTAAATCTTCATTTCAAAGTGTCGAAATTACTAAAGAATGACACACCGCACTCTCTTACAACCGTAATAGAGAGAGCGGAGTACAAAATATTCTCCAAACAAACAACTACAGATCATTATTCAAAATTTTAGCGAAATAATATATCAACCACAACATGGTTTCAGTCGGAGAAATCACTCGAAAATATTTATTCTCATTGTTTCTCCATTGCGAAAATTAGGTTTAAGAGATAAACATGAATATGAAGGGGTGAGAATCACGCAAACTATAAAAACTATATGAAGCTAATACTCATCATCCGATTAAAGACCGAAGGTACAATTGTGCAGTTTGTATTTGTATTTTAGCACTGATAGTTTAAAAATTTGAAATGATCTCAGTATGTTGTAAAATACGGAAATGGCCAAATGAATTAAACGACCAACATTATCCCATACATGTAGATAACTTAACAGTAAGTAAGTAATCACCCGTACTTAAAATATAAATGTTTGCATAAACTGATATCGGACTAGTATCCAACTAGGGTCGGAACTTCACAAGACTATACCACAGTGTGAGTAACGATATGTACGATTATAATATTACATATATAGATTACAGTATCTTCTACAAAGATGTAAGTATCATCTACGTAGATGACAGTATCTTCTACGTAGATGCCAGTATCATCTACGTTTATCATCTATTTTATTTTAGACTGTGGCACTCATGCGCTTCCATAGTTTTGACATCTGCACTTTGAACAGTTTTCATTTCCTCTTGCGGTTACATTTTGACCAGGACATTGTCCCGGAAACAACCAAATAAAAACATCAACTTCATGATAAATCTGAATAATTGTTGGGTAGCTATTTATTTGGCACACGTTAAATGAAAGTCAGTTGAAACAAATCAAAAACAAGGAAACAAAGCTGTATGCACGCTTGCGAATTCTTTCACTTCAACAATGTGCTGCATGGTTATCTTATTTTCACGAGTAAAACTATCTCCTATCACGAGGTGAGAGAAACATGACATTACACTCGACATTTGGAATATCCTATTTATTATATACATTTTGTGTAGTTGCCTACAAGAAAATTAAATTATTTCATAACAAATGTAAAACCTTGAAACGTAAATTCTCCCTACCTAACCATGGGCGGATGCAGCTTTTTTTAAAAAGGGGGGTGCACAATTAAGATCTATTTATTTTCTTTGGTGGTAATTTATACAGAAATAAAGATTTTTTTCGAAATAAGATGTTTTCGAGGGAATAATAAACGGCACGACATTATTTTGCCGTGTCAATGTGGAACTAACGTAAAAAGGACGACAACAGTTTGTGTACGGGCTAGGCACTTACGACAAAGGGAGACAATTTAAGGGGAGGTAACTCTTGTATGACACCCTCAAAGTGTTATGTTTACTGCAGTGAAATAACAAGCGTTATGTTCACTGCAATGAAAATATCATTTTTATCAACTGCTGAAAACTCAGTCTTTCACACTGCAATTTTGACCCAGCTTTCTAAAATTATTCTTTTTAGTTGCTGGCAAAAAAATCAGTGTGATTATACACACTGGATGTTTTTGTTCGTGACAAAGGACAATTATGTTAGAACAGGTAATATTAAAAAGACGACTATGCTTGTCGTAAGAGGCGACTGACTGGATCGGATGGTCAGGATCGCTGACGTGGTTGATGCATGTCATCGATCCCAATTGCTTGGAATGATGCTCATGATATCAATCACTGGATAGTCTAGTCCAGACTCGATTATTTACAGACTGCCGTCATATAGCTGGAATATTTCTGAGTGCGGCGTAAAACAACAAACCAACCAACCAACTAAAAGCACATATATTCATCATTAAAATTAAATGGGACTCTTTTTTAATCTTTACATTTCAAGCATGCACTGGTTACTCTATGTTTTGCTGTTGGTGGTAAGATATCTGACACTGGTATTTGACAGATCACAATGTTCTTCAATGAAAATGATCGAATCAGTCTTTTCAGTCATATGTTGGATTTGCTCAGACATCCTTATACCAGCGTCACACTCGTTCTGGACCGAATCACACCAGAAGACACTCTCCGCCTCAGGAAGCGCTGATGCACCCAATACAGCAGGTCTTCTTTTGGAAGGGATTTCTTTCAGAGGTAATGCTGGTCTCGTTTATTGTGTTGTTCGTTGTTGATGGTTCGACACTAAGCTGTCCTCTATCTCACAGTATGTCACATTGTCGCTAGTGGTTCTTCTTGACCTATTGGTGCAGCGGGGATCATCTATGTTTCTGTGAAAAAAAAACTTAGAAAAAACTATGTTTGTAATTTTTTTATAACATTCTCTCTTAGGAACCAGACAAGAAAAAACTGTATCTATTATGTATTATTTTGCACTCGTTCATTATCATAGATATTAGATTCTTTGAGATAAAGACCGCCTCCGTGGTCCAGTGGTAGAGCGTCCGCCCGGAGAGCGGAAGGTCCGGGGTTCGATCCCCGGCCGCGTAATACCAATAGACGTGAAAAGATGGTACTTGTTGTTACCCTATCTGGCGCTCGGCTTTAAGGGGCTAAAACAAGGACTGGTCGGCTCGGAGTCAGTATACTGTGTCTGGGTGAGTATTCATGTTAAACTGCGGCACTATAAATCGGCATCAGTCCGGACTAGTAAAAGCAGCCACACACGTGCATGCACGTCTTGGACGCGACGTTAAACCCAATTTCGCCTCACCTTACCTCTTTGAGATGAGTACAGTATTTCATCGTTAAATAGACAGTATCCCAATCTGCAAATCAGAAAATGTCTTACCACCATAATTACACTTTACAGTTATCATTAAATTTATATGATCAAAATAACTTTCGGCTTTTGGTTCATATTTAAAAAGACTAGGCTAGATGTTGTACATCGTTCTTTATAATACGTGGCATCGCACCTTTCAAGTTAAAAGAACTGTTTTTTAACATAGTTTGCATTAAACAATAATGAAACGGCCGTAAGTCATGATATTGTATTTTTATTGAGATCAGATTCTTGAGAAATTTTTCATCAATCTAAGTCGAAATTAGTCATTGTTGTCATAGTAATGTTCAAGATAATTCTAATACGAACCTCCTCTTGAGATGTATCCGAAACATTATGATCAGGGCTATCACAGCACAGCATAGGACTCCTGCTAATGTCCCAAAAGAAACAACCAAAATGTGTTCGGAAGAACCTGAAATAACGAAGCACTTTGAAAAATCATTTAGATTTGAAAAAGTTTAAGTTTCGGGGCTATTTAGATTTGCAAGTTTCGGAAGAAGTTTCGGAGATTCCCATGAAGACTAACAGGATCTGGTGATTAGGCTCGATGACCTGGTTGATGCATATCATCGTATCCCAATTGCGTGGATCGATGGTCATGATATCAATCTGGATTGTCTGGTCCAGACTCGATTATCAAAATCGCAGTCATATTGCTTGAATATTCCTGAGTGCGGCGTTAAACAACAAACAAACAAGCAGAATTAAATTGGCTATGGCTGATGTCGTTTTTCTGACATACTCGTAAATCCGACATAATCATATGCACCCAACAATGTCGGATTAACGGGACATGACTGTAGCTGGAATATTGCTGAGTGCGGCTTTAAACAACAAACAAACAAACAAACAAACAAACTTACGTTTTTGACAAGGTGCTCGGTGGCAGGTGTCCCCTGAACATGGAGAGCAAATATCATCACAGTATTTCCTGCTGAAGCCCTGAGCACAACTGATACACAGTCCGGTGTCCTTCTCACACCCCTCACAGCCGACGGGACAAGGATCAGAGCAATTTAGTCCGTGATAGTTCTTGTCGAGACAGAGTCCCTTACATGTGTTGTCATAGCGACCACACAGTTTACAGTTAGATGGACAAGATTCATTACAAAACTCTCCTCTCAGACCCGTGGAGCAGTTGAGACACATGGCTGACTTTCTCTCACATCTGTCACAGTTACGTGGACAAGGGATAGAGCACATATTTCCATGATAGTTAGCGTTAATACACGGCCCAGTGCATTGCACGTGGTTTTGAGTAAAATCATGAATTGTTTTACAGTTTGGGTGGCATGTTGTTTTACAAGATGTACTGTCACAATTATCTCCATGTTCATCACATCCACCCTTGCAGTAACCTGTCACACAGGTGTCACAGTACTTCCCTGTGTAACCTGGATCACAGCTGTCACACTCCCCCGTGTCTTTGTCACATCCATCTCTACAGTTGGGGGGACAGGTAACATTACACTTGTCCCCCATGTAACCTGGCTCACAGCTGTCACAGTACTTCCCTCTGAAACCTGGCTCACAGCTGCCACACTCCCCCGTGTCTTTGTCACATCCATCTCTACAGTTGGGGGGACAGGTAACATCACACTTGTCCCCCATGTAACCTGGCTCACAGCTGTCACACTCCCCCGTGATCCTATTACATCCATCTGTACAGCTGGAGGAACAAGGTGTTCTACAGTGTGGACCGTAATACCGGGGATTCTGACACGGTCCTGTACAACCAACACCATAACGTTCACACTGTGTACAGGCTGTAGGACAGGTCGTCCCGCAGTTATCTCCCTTCTTGCCGGCCACACATCCCTCTGTACACACAACACGGGTGTTGTCCATCTGACAGCGAGATTTGAGACAGGTGTCTGGACAGTCCTGTTTACACTGTTTACCATAGAACCTGGAGTCTAGACACTGGAGACACTCTCCAGATGACGTCACATTGACACAGCGAGGTAGACACACACCGTCAAGACACGTCACGTTGTTACCGTCACAGTTACTACAAGGAGTACTGGCTGCGAAAGCGACTGAAAGCATTCTGATCGAAAGAAGTAACCATCTATTTTAAAATGTCTTCATCGGCCATTACCATTTGAAAGCAGGGTTCGTATTACGTGTTGACGTCCGAGAGTCATGATGAATCCCTAGATCTTAAATCAGATGCAAATATATATACAGAATATTTCCATTGTATTATCGGCCGGTGGCCTGAAGTACCGAATAAATTTGTCTGTCTGTCTGTCAAATCAGATGGGACCGTTCGCTATATTGGCTATATCTCACCAATCCTCACAATTGTTTATATTCTTCTGTGCCAAATACACAGTAGGTTTGCGTCAGGAAAACATTTACATGTGAAAAAACTATTATTCCAAACAACATGGGTGTGAGACAATGATGATACACGTACGCACAAGCCAACAGATGTTGACAGAGAATGTATTGCGATCTTGAATGATCGATAGCAAGGACTTAAAAATACATGTATACGAACCTGCTGATGTAGCACACAGTAGGATAATCACCACGATAGTATCCATGGTTGAAGCGTGGAAGAGCCCTAGATAGAGAAAATAGATAGAGAAAATAGATAGAGAGGGTGCTTTTGCGATTTAACAGTTAAACGGTTTAACAACATTTGAGTAACTGTTGATCACGTCCATTAGTTCTGTGGAGCACGTTAAGTAGCAGATCACATTCCCACTTAAAGAAACACCACGAGGCTCCTATGGAGAATTTCATTTTGTGTGTAGAGGGTTAATGTACCAAATGGAAAGGGTAAAAATGTTATTTGGCCCTTGAACATATTCATAACACCATATAGATGTTTTACGCGGGTCTACAATTTCATTATGTGATAGAGATATACTATAGTCGTTTTAATGCATTAATGCTGGGGTCTTTTCTATACCTAACACGGGAAAAACATTTCATATGACGAAGCTTGATGTGACATAGATATGTTGGAGTTGTTGAATGTTTGTGAAACGTTTGGGACTCTAGAGTAGACACATTGATTCCGATACAAGTTCGGTCGAATATTGAAGCACTGTATACGAAAATTAATCACTTGCATAAAACAAATCAAATGCTGTAAAATGTATCCACATACACGGTTAGTTTGATGCAGAGATGACAGGTAAACTGACATATTCAAAACGCGTAAAATCCTCCTTGCTTTCTCATTTACTCAGGTATATACATTTTTTTCTCTTTTTCGACTTGAGGAAGATAACACTCCATAAATCCGAGGTGTATTGAGTGTCTACAGATAGTTTGTTTGTTTGTTCTTTAACGCCGCACTCAGCAATATTCCAGCTGTATGACGGCGTTCTGTAAATATTCGAGTCTGGACCAGATAATCCAGTGATTGACATCATGAGCATCGATTTAGGCAATTGGGAAAAGATGACATGCATCAACCAAGTCAGCGAGCATGACCATCCGATCCGTAAATCGCCTCTTACGACAGGCATAGTCGCCTTTAGCGGCAAGTATGGGTTGCTGAAGACCTGTTCTACCCCGGATCTTGAAGGGTCCTACAGATAGTGGGGCGCACGGGTAGCCTAGTGGTTAAAGCGTTTGCTCGTCACGCCGAAGACCCGGGTTCGATTCCCGACATGGGTACAACGTGTGAAGCACATTTCTGGTGTCCCCCGCCGTGATATTGCTGGAATATTGCTAAAAGCGGCGTAAAAGCATACTCACTCACTCACTCACCCACCCACTCACTCACTCACTACATGCAGTAATATAGCTAAAACATTTGTTAACACCTTAAATAATCACTCGTTAAAGGGTTAGGAAAGTCAAAAGTGACGCACACGATGTACAGTTTACCATTCTGATGAAACAATGAACACAAGGATTGGTGCCTATCTATCACTCACTCCTACAGATAGTAGTCATGTGGTACAGTAATTAGACAGTCGATAACACGTGGTTAATACCTTAAAATATTCACCTTGATGGCTTTGATATCTATATCTGTGCTTGCCAGCTGCCTTCTCACAATATGAAGGAGAGGACCGCCAGTAGGGCGAAGGGTTCAGTGTATTCAGTACTTGTCTTCAGATCATATTTCCTTCACTGGCGGAAGCAAATGGAAATATGGCCAATGTGTCACATGTTCACAAAACTTAATATTTCCTTGTTTGCAAGCGTTAAGTTTTAAAATGAATCTGGAATCTCAAAAGGTTGTTCTCAAAATACTTCTATTTTCTACCTCGATATTTAACAATAACAATAATCCATATAAATTGTGTAGAACAGGGAACTTTTAACGTCTACATAGTATTATCTAGTCCACATCTCAAAACGCATTCAAATCTTTGAGTTCTCTGGATAGGCATTTAGAAGTTGGGAGAACATGAATACATGACACATTTTATGGAAAGCAACTTCTCTTGAGAGTTGAAAAGCACATTGTCCGTCAAATTCAGGTCACCTATAAAACTGCACTGTTATATCAATCTACGTGAACCCATTTCATGCGAGTAATATCAGTACACACAAAGACTATATTTCTATATACGAAGTCTCAACGATAGACCAATGCATAGAACGACTTGGCGTGGGTAGCGAGCTGGGAATGAGTGGATGAGTGGATGGTGTTTTATACACAGACAGCAATATTCGATGGATATTTATCATGGTAAATAACTGAGTTCGGGCAGACAAACAAAAAGTAGTGGTTGAATGCATGAGGAACGATCAATGCCGTCGGGGTGCAATAGCAAACAATCAGCCATAAGGGTCACATCGTGACCATTAGACTCTCGACTCTGACGGTGCTGATGGTTTCTGCCCCAGGATCCCTACAGGTGTAATGTTGCAAAGGTACGGGCAAGAGACGGACAAATTACCCGTCTGAGTACGTTGAATCTAGCATTACATGCCAACAAAACACATATTATGTTTTCATACTATAACCGATTTGCCGCCATTCTATTCCAAGATTCATTCAGAATGTGTAGAATTAGTCAATTATGTGTGTTTATATTGCTTGGTATGGGCTTTGGTAAATGTAATTCCCCTTAGACACAATGAGGCAGGCATATCCAATCTTATGAAGAAAATATATATTATGCATATTTTCATACTAAAATCGATAGGCGCGAGTGTTTCAGCTTGCCCTTTTCGCGAACGACCGGTGTAATCACTGATTTTCAGTGATCCATTCATATATTTAGCCGTTTAGGGCCCAATGGAATCTGTTTCAGAGATTTGTTGTTCTCTTGTGTTGACTTTTTTTATATTTAGTTTTCAGTGTTGTATAATTACAATGTATTTTTACCATTGAACTAATTTGGTGGGTGGGTCTACAAAGAGTAAGAGCCCACAGTATCGACAAGAGAGTATAGTTCTTGATATTACTTTGAAACGTAAGGCCAAACCAGAAACGGACTCCGCTTAATCAGACTTAGAACGCAATTTCTTGAATTTGAAATTGAAAACAAGGGAATTGCGTCCTTAAATTTAAGTTACATTCTCAGGCAAAGATCAGTTGCCAAACATGTCCCATAATATTTCAAATTCCAGGAACCACCAACAATTTCATTTTCCTATATTTCCTATTTCATCTTGGTTGTTCAATTATAGGAAAGTGTTGCAGAAGTGGATTTGGCAGCTAATATGTAAATTCCACTACTTGTGTCTGCCAAGAGGCAGTATGCCGCCGCCAACCTGTAGGTCATATAATCACAGGTGACTGCTCTATTGCTCTATGTGAGGGTGGGGCATTTAGGCAAGAAGTAGGTATCCCCATGGGCACCAATTGTGCTCCCCTACTTGCTGATCTGTTTCTCTATGCATATGAATCGGAATTTCTGCTCGGATTCGCAAAGTCACAACAAGGTAATTTGGCCTAGAAGTTTAACTTACGTGTCAGGTATATCGATGATCTGATATCATTCAAAAGCCATGAAATAGCCAATCCCTTCCTCTGATTTATCCACCTGAACTAGAAATAAAGGAGACAAGTGAGACCGCCTCATCTATTTCATATTTAGATCTATGCATAAAGATGCAGAGTGACAAAATACTCTCCACAAGAGCATATGACAGGAGAGATGACTTCAACTTTCCCTTTATGTCGAGCAATATTCCTTCAGCTCCAGCCCTTGGTGTCTATATTTCACAAACTTTTGAGGCACAATCGACATGATCGGTCTACCAATATTTAAAAATCGTCATATGATTAAAGCAGACGCTGTTTGATTTAGGTTACAACATTCAAGGTGACAGTAAAGCTTTCAAACGTTTTATGGTAGTCATGTGGAGGACATTTCCAAATTTGACGCATCAGTGACAAAAGTTATCTCTTATGCAATTCCTTATTTTGACTTGTACCATATGTATCCGTGTGGGTTTTTTTCAGGTGAACAATGGCCTTGCATTTACATTTGTTTGTGACGAGTATCACCAGTGGGGAACAATATGCTCACCTGGTATGATCAGTAGTAATTCATTAACA